TTGCTTTACCACTGAGACACATCCCCAGCCCTTTTTATTTTTTGTTTTGAGACAGGGTCTAACTAAGTTGTTTAGGGTCCTGTTTAGTTGCTAAGGCTGGCCTTGAACTTGTGATCCTCCTGCCTCAGCCTCCTAAGTCAATGGGATTACAGGTATATGCCCCGTGCTGAGCCCAAACTGGCATTTTTATAGTCATTATTGGCAACAGTCACATTTTATCAAGTTCATCCAATTCACTGTATGTTGTTTGACATTCAGAACCACTTTGAATCACTATATTGTTCATAGAAAAATAAAAAGTAATGTTTGTTGAGCATCTACTGTGTGTGAAGCATGTTCTTTTTGCTTTACTTATTTTAGCTCAACATTATTCCTACCTTATGAAGAAAGTAGTAATCTAATATTATCTTTCTTAATGTATTGTTAGAACAAGAGTGACTTTTTCCATTGTTGATTTGTTGGTTTTCATTTTTTCTGTTGTCTTCTTTGTCTTATAGTTGTATATTCATCATCTTCCCAAGACATTTTTCCAAGTATCTTTTAAAGCCTGTTTACAAGGGCTTTTAACACTTGTATGTTTAAGGACAGACCTCTAGGGATAATCATGAAATTGATAGTAAATAACCTTGCCCCCCCCTTTATTCATCAATCTTCCAGGTAAGCTGTATAATCATCTGAAATCTGATTGAGATTATTTCAGGATAATTTATCTTTTCCAAACACTATATTGTAGTTCAAAGTTCAAGTATTTGGGAAAATACTGGGAAAACACTCAAAAGACCCTGCTTCTACTCTCTTAGAGCTTACAGTATAAGGTTTTTTGTCTGATCTACCTTTGAGTTAGAAATACTATCTGAGTTAGAAATACTATCTATATTCTTATTTGTTATGTAGCCGGGTCCAGTATTTATTTCCAGTATAATTTTAGATTTAAATTTATAGTATTCACTCAAATGAGGATCATTGTTCTTTTTTAAAATATATATATTTTTTAGTTGTAAATGGACATAGTACCTTTATTTTGTTTATTTTTATGTGGTGCTGAGGATCAAACCTGGTGCCTCACAGGTGCTAGGCAAGCGCTCTACCATTGAGCTACAACCCCACCTCAGAATCATTGATCTTTGTGTAGGAAAGCTTTATTGAGTTTACTAGTTTATAAATTATGGTAACCTGACAATGTGTTTAAGTATGAAGATTTAGCTAGGTAGCAAAAGAATGTAAGTAAAAGTGTGATTGCTGGAGAAAAGAATTACCCATCAGATCTTTTTTTATAACACTGATGCACTTTTGCTGTTTGAAATATTGTGTTTTTATTATCTCTTGTGTTTTGGAGTTCTATTCAGGTTTTTACCCTGAATACATCTTTACCTATAGTATTATACAGGTAAACTATTAGTCTGTAACAAATTGGTGTGTGCATATTAATTAATAGACAAATAAATCAATAACACCTTATTCTGAGTAATTCATTGTAGAGAATAATTTTTCAGCAGTTTGATTCAATTGTGACAATTATGTTGGTGTATATGATTGACATTTTTCTCCAGGAAATCATAGAACACAAATAACTACATCGGTTTATAAGTCACATAATGTATCACACAAAAGGTCAATAGGTCATAGCCTCTCAGGGTTAGAGATTCTAAAATTCTGTTTCTTCTACCAATCTCTCTCATTTCTATAGATATCCAGAAGATTTTTTTCTCCCAGATATGCAGCATTTATTAGAGTACAGAATTAAATAATAAAATGAAAAATGTTGACATATGCTTATTTTGAATTTCTGACACTTGTTTTATTGGGACTAGGGATTAAAACCAGGGTAACTTACCACTGAGCTGCATTGACAAACCCCCTCACCCTCTTTCTTTTTAGTATCAGAGATTCAACCCTGAGGCTTAACTATTGAGCTGCATCAGTAGTCATTTTTATTTACTTTGAGGCAGAATTTCACTGAGTTTCTTAGGATCTTGCTAAGTTGCTGAGCCTGGTCTTGAACTTGTGATCCTTCTGCCTCAGACTTCCACATCTCTGGCAATATAGGCATGTACCACCTTCGCTGGCTTGGGAGACTATTTTGAATCTTTGCTTCAGTGATAAAGAATTACAGTCTAACATGACCAGAAAAAAACTAAGTAAACTGAGAATAGATTTTGAAAATTGGTCACAGTCCTTATTTCTGGTTGGTTAAAGTAATCTTATGATTATAAAATAACCATAAAAAAGTTAACTGTGATATACAGATTAATTAACTATGATAATATGTTCTCTAAATCTATATTTTTAAAAAGTAATATTCAACTATAAAATCAAACAAGTCTTCAATTCCTCTTTCCTTTCTCTAATTTGTTGCAAAATAAATACCCCCAATGTAATAGTGTTGACACTTTATGATTGCATAATCATTCAGTTTTACATATTATCTCATTCAATCTTCGTAGAAACTCTGCAATCATTCAGATTATATTAGTCTCTTTTGTAAATTAACAACAGTATATTATGCCATTTTCTAAATAAAAAAACGAAGGTACAAAAATTCTAAGTGATTTTGCCCATAGTTATAGGGAAATTGAGTGATGTAACCTAAGTGGACTGGGCATCTCTGACTTCCTATCACTTATGTAAGTTTAAGTAATGAGTCCCAAGGAAACATTTAATCTAGCCTTGACATTTTGATATCACTTTCTGAGTGATTAGTGTTCATTCCAAATAATCCACAATCCTACAGAGAGAGACTGCCTGGTAAAGATATAAACCAATCCTTACCCAACTTCTATTTCTTTTTCTTAGTGCATCTCTTGTCTCATGAACTGGTATAGATGTTTCCTTAAAACAAAACAAACATCATGCCTTTTTTTTTAAAACCGGTCCTAGACATCTAGTAACTTAGAAAATCTAAACCTTTTAATTTTTTTTAGCTCAAAAATCCAAAAGCAGGAGTGATGCAGAGACTTATTTCATTACTGGTAGATAAAAGAGAAAGTGCTACTATCTTCTCTCCTCTTATCTTCAATAATAATTAGTAGTATGTATGGGGAAGGTTAATGTTGATAACTCTGGGGGCAAACCCATTGAAGAGCCCCCTTATAGTACAGTGTATTTTAGTGTTTTCCTCCAACTCCTTTAAATATGCATTTTTTTCTTTTTAATTTATACACAATTAACCTGCTTTCAAAGGTCAGCACAGTAGAAGACTAAAAATAATGATCATTAGAATTATAACAAATCTTCTGCCTAATACTGTACAGTTTCAAAGCCAGCTTTTACTTACCTTATCACATTTAACACTTCGGAGAAGAAAAAAAAAAGTCCATTGAGGTGGTCAGGGCAGAAGTTACTCACCTCAATCAATAAACAAGAAATCTGTGGAAAAGAGAAATGACTTTCCTAAGATCAGGAGGGTAGGCAGTACTCGAATCAAGGTCTTCTGGCTTCTAGTCCAGGTCTCTTTCCATTATATCACATTGCTTCTGATTGTCAGTGACATTTACTATCATTGCTGTTTTATTACCAAAGGATTTAAGAGTAGAAGAAATGGACTTTTTTCTAGTGAAAACTATTGTGAAAGTAACATGTTGAAATTTAGTCTATGCTTTTTATCTAACTTAGCTTTGTTTTTGCTTGTATTAAAGAGAAATAAGTAGATAGACTCAATTGTGACAATTATGTTTGTGCATATGATTGAATAAAAAGGTTCAGAATTGATGAAATTTTGCACTTTTTAATTATTAATTAAGTCTTCTAGCCTTTGTAAAGTATAATCTCAAAATATTTTGATGCAAAAGTAAGAAAACAGAAACCTCTAACCAGACTAAAAGAAAGATAGAATAACCAAACAGTATAATCTGTACAACGATGCACAACTCATATGATTGATAATACCTGGAGAGTAATATGAAATTTCTATTTTCCATTCCAATAGTTGTTTTAAGATAATTAACTTGATTAAACACTTTTGAATTCTAGTTATGTGTAACTCTTCTGCTATTCTCTCTGAATTTATTTGATTTCAACATATAGGGAAATTCCAATGCATTGGAAAAGTTAATGTAGCCTGAATAAAGCCTCAACATATATCAGTGTAATTCATACCTCCTCCTAATATTCCAAATGATATTTTTAGTGTGCTAGAGAATGCCATTTTATTCCTAATAATAAAAGAAATTTATTTATATCATCATCACCTAAGTTCCATCATCACCTAAGTGCCATTTTATCTACACCAAGAAAAAACACACTCTTTGGACTATTTTCTTTGTTTCTGGTACTGGAGACTAAACCCAGGGTCTCACACATGCTTAGCATTCATTCTACTGCTGAGCTACACCCCAGCTCTTAATATTGTTTTAATTCTTCTATATAATAAAAAATGAATGAAATATAAATAACCTGTTGATAGACAAATTAAATGCCTGACACAGAATATACCATATATAACATGCACTGTAGTAGTTTAGTAGTTATGTTACCTAAAATTATCATTAATGAATTGTTGCCATATAAATTTGCTTGTATTAGACTTTTTTTTTCAAATTATAATTTCATTTTTTATTTTCCTTAAGGTATGCTAATACTGAAACATGTAAAAATTTAAATGTATCTTAATTAAAAACAAAAAATGCCTTTAGCAGATACTCTTCGTGTACCCTTACTACCCTGAAAGTTATAAAACTAAGGTATTATTCTACTAATCTAAAAAGTAGCAGATACATACTGGTATTAGAGAGTGTGTGTGATTGCCTTATTTTTGATGTGTTACAGTTTTCTGGAGCCCTGCTCTATCATCTAATGAAAATTATCCTTGGCTACCGTAATATATATGTATATATACCATATGTAGAAAATCTTCAAGTTTCCAAAGCATTCTTGGTAATGTAATTATACTCAGGCTACCAGAGTAAGCTTTCTAATCTAGATTCAAAAATAATGAAAAAAACTAAGTCTTTTGTGATACATGGCCACATTTTGTTTATCAATGATGTGTTTACTTTCCACAGATGTGTCTTGCTGAATCAGGGATCTCTTATCCCTGCCACCGACTTACTGTGGGAAGAAGATCTTCACCTGCACAGACTCGGGAGCAGTCAGAAGAAGTAAGCCTGTTTGCTAGCTTTTCAGAAGGCCTATATCCTCCACCCACTTGCCTACTTCCTATTCTTTTTATCTGCTACAACAATGCATTGGAAAAGTTAATGTAGCCTGAATAAAGCCTCAGTAAATTCCTGAAGGCAGAAACTTTCCATGCAAGGTTATTGCTAATGTGTTCCTTCATGTAGTGTTAGTTTCATATTTCAATAGACAAAATTCAGATTGATTGTTTGAAATAATTTTTACTTAGAGCTGTCAGGTTAACAAAGAGTTCTTTTTTTTTTTTTTTTCTTCTCTGCTGTGTAGTTGACTACATTTATTGGGATTGATTCTGGAGGTCCTTTAACTCATTGAGTTAGAATACCTTCTATGAGCCAGATATGTCTGCATTGGATAATAAAGATAAAAAACAATGTACCTATATGAAGGGTAATAGATCTGTAAGTTGGTAATGATGACATAATATAAAAACTTTAGTGACAGCAGTACACACAAGGGTGCTGTGGAAACAAAGCAATGAGGCAGATAAGATTGAACATGCTATGTATGTGCCTCTGTATGTCTATTTAGGCCTGTAGGATATTTTTTTAGTAATTTTTAAATTTTTACTTATTTATTTATTTTTATATGGTGCTGAGGATTGAACCCAGTGCCTCACACATGCTGGGCAAGTGCTATACCACTGAGCCACAACCCCTGCCCAGGTCTGTAGGATATTAAAAGGTAATATCTTAATTCTGTTCCATGTCTACAGGTAGTAATTCTATGCCTAACTTTGACCTTGGTTATAAGGGGATGGTAAAGCAAACATAGATAATACAGTTTTTTTCATTTAAAAAATATTCAAACTGGGTCTGGTGGCACACTTATAATCCCAGCATTTTAGAAGGTTGAGGCAGGAGGATCACAAGTTTGAGGCCAGCCTCAGCAACTTTATGAGACAATCAGTAACTTAGCATGACCCTGTCTCAAAATAAAATCTTAAAAGGCCGGGGGGAATAGCTCAGTTGTACAGTGCTCTAAGTTTAATCCCCAGTACCAACAACAGCAAATTATTCAATGAAAGTTGGGGGTGAATCTCAGTATTAGAGTGTTTATCTAGCATTAGCAGGGCCGGGTTCAGTTGCAGTATCGGGATACTGCACATACAACAATAAAAAACAAATACATGTACAAAAATAAAAAGTACTTAATGAACTCTTACTATGCACTGTGAGAAGTTATCACCATCATTTTAAGTGAATATGAATATGAATATGAATCAGAGCACCTAAATGTGTAAGGCACACTTTAATAAGGAGTGAAACAGAGTGTAATACAGTAATAGTAGGGGAATTCAATATCCCACTTTCAGATCATCCAAGTCAAAAATTATTGAAGAAACATTAGATTTACACTATATACCTTAGACCACATTGGCCTAAGAGATTAAGAGAAGCTGTAAAGTATTTCCTTTAGGGAAAAAGGTAAGAGTTCTAGACTTAATAAGGAAAGAAAAAAAAAATTGTATGCTGTGGTTGCTAAGATTTGCAATAAGAATGACTCTTCCATTAAACTTTGAAAAAGGAAAAAGAAATTCCTGTGAGTTTTGCTGTCACACTTCAAACTATAAAAATTATGCCCACAGTGTCTGATAAGTGTTTATTTGGTTCAGATGGAAGAGGCATTAAATGTAAGTATGGGAATGTAGGCGAACACATAGTTTATTTATATATATACACACACACACACACACACACACACACACACACACATATCTCGTTTGGTACTATTCAAAATTTCAGGCATCCATTGGGGGTCTTAGAACATATCCCCTACAGATAACGGAGGTCCACTGTACTGTCCAATAAATTGGATACACTAGAATAAATAGGTAAATTCCTAGATGTACACAACCTACCAAGACTGAGTAATGAAGAAATGGAAAATCTGAATAGACAAATAAAGAGTAAAGAGATTGAATCAGTAATAAAAAGCCCCGGTCCCAGTGGTTTCACTACTGAATCCTACAAACATTTAAAGAATGAATACCAGTTCTTAAATGTCTTAAGGATAGAATACTTGCAAACTCATTATATAGTTTCATCATTATCTTGATGTCAGACAAGGAAAATAAGAAAATTATAGACCTGCATAGATGAACATAGATGAAGATATTTTCAACAGAATACTAGTAAACCAGACTCAATAGCACTTTAAAAGGATAATTATTTCCCATGGTTGAGTGGAATATTTCCCTGGAATATAAGGATGATCATACCAAAACCAATAAGTGGGATGGATTCAACCTGAAAAGCTTCTCAGCAAAAGAAATCAGTGAGGTGAAGAGAGAGCCTATAGAATGGGAGCAAATTTTTACCACATGTACATCAGATATAGCACTAATCTCTGGGATACATAAAGAACTCAAAAAACTTAACACCAAAAAAACCCCCAAAAACAAAAACAAATAACCCAATCAATAAATGGGCTAAGGAATTGAACAGACATTTCTCAGAAGAATATATACAATCAATCAACAAATATATGAAAAAGGTTTAACATCTCTAGCAACTAAAGAAATGCAAATCAAAACTACTCTAAGATTTCATGTCATGCCAGTCAGAATGGCAGCTATTAAGAATACAACCATCAATAAGCGTTGGCGAGGATGTGGGGGAAAAGGCACACTGATTCATTGCTGGTGGGACTGCAAATTGGTGCAACCAATCTGGAAAGCAATATGGAGATTCCTTGGGAAACTTGGAATGGAACCACTATTTGACCCAGCTATCCCACTCCTCTATTTATAACCAAAGGACTTAAAAACAGCATACTACAGTGATGCAGCCCCATGAATGTTTATAGCAGCACAATTCACAATAGCCAAACTGTGGAACAAACCTAGATGCCCTTCAATAGATGAATGGATAAAGAAACCATGGTGTATATATACACAATAGAATATTTCTGAACATTAAAGGAGAATAAAATCATAATATTTTTAGGTAAATGGATGGAGTTGGAGAATATCATGCTAAGTGAAGTAAGCCAATCCCAAAAAACCAAAGGCCAAATGTTTTCTCTGATATGTGGATGCTGAAGTTGGGGGGAGCATGGAAGGAATGGATGATCTTTGGATAGGGCAAGTGTGGAGAGAGGGGAGGGAGAGGGTATGGGGGTAGAAAAGATGGTGGAATGAGATGGATATCATTACCCTAAGTACATGTATAACAACATGAATGATGTGACTGTATTTTGTGTACAACCAGAGAAATGAAAAATTGTGCTCTATATGTGTACTATGAATTGAAATGAAATTTGTAATATATGGCGTTCTGCTGCCATATATAACAAATTCAAATAAATTAATTTTAATAAGCAAATAATTATAAATAGTGAGTTCTTGAATATAGCTTAATTTCATTATTCCGGAATTTATACATATGTCAAAACTTATTATACTCTATAAATATATACAATTATTTGTCAATTAACGTTTTTTAAAAATCTCCTCCAAGTTTATCTAAATGCATCAGAGGAAATTATCAGTGAATCACAAAATATATTGATACTGGTTGAAAGTTTCTAAACTAAAATATAAATATAAATAAGAAAATAAATAAAAACAACATCTAAGACCATTAATATGTGGTTTAACATGTGTTATTGGAGTTCCTACCAACCAACAGAGAGAAAGAGATAGAGGTTGTAGAATTTGAAAGATAATGAAGAATTCTAAAGAACTTTATAAAATTAATGAAAGATAATCAATTATAGATCTAAGAGACTCAGAGTACACAAAGCAGGATAAATGCAAGTAATTACTTATGTCAATATGTAATAGTCAAAGTGCTGAAAACCAAAGATGAATCAAAAGTATTAAAAGTTATTCAAGTTAGAAACAGTATATTTAAAGAAATAGATACAAAAATAACATCAGAAAGTATGCAGTTCAGAAGAAAATGGATGACATGCATGACTGAAGGAAAGAACAGTCAAACAAAACCTTAAATGAATGGTTAAGAAAGTTATTTAAGGAGAAAAGGCATGACAAACAGATAAATTTATAACTACACAAAAAATTAACATTGACAGTTATCATAAAAATGTAAGAAAATATTTGAATTATATATTTATTTTAAATCTCTTTAAAAGACAAATACAAAAACCAAAAGATGGCTGAGGTTGTGGCTCAGAGGTAGAGCGCTTGCCTAGCATGCATGAAATACTGGGTTCAATCCTCAGCATCACATAAAAAGTTCAATTTTTTTTTTTTTTTTTTTTTGGGAGAGGAACTGTGATTGGGCAAACGGGAGAATGGAGAGGAGAGGGTATAAAGACAGGAAAGATGGTGGAATGAGATGGACATCATTGTCCTAGGTATATATGTGACTGCACATATGGTGTGACCCAACTTCATGTGCAATCAGAGAAATGAAAAATGCAGTTGTGTATAGTGAATCAAAATTCATTCTGCTGTCATATATACATAATTAGAATGAATAAATAAATTTTAAAATAAAGCATTGTTTTAATAGACAAAGAACTTGAATAGACATTTCTCTAAAGAAGATAGACAAATGTCTAATAAGCACATGAAAAATGCTCAACATTATTCTTCCTTAGGTAAATGCAGTTCAGAATTACAATGAGATAACACCTCAAACTCATTAGAATACTACCATTTTTTAAAAAAAAAAAAGGAGGAAGTGACAATGTTGGCAAATGTGTAGAAGATTTGGAACTCTTGTATATCGTTGGTGGGAAAGTAAAAGGATTCGGCAACTGCGAAAATCAATAATGGCAGTTCCTCAAAAAATTAAAAATACAAGTGCCATATGATCCAGCAATTGTACTATTGATTATGTACAATAGTACAATAGCTCAGAGGTAGAGCGCTTGCATAGCATACATGAGGCACTGGGTTCAATCCTCAGCACCACATAAAAATAAAGGTAATGTGTCCACCTACAACTAAAAAAATAAATGTTTAAAAGAAAAAGTTTTATATATATATAAAACATTGACAGTTATCATAAAAATGTAAGAAAATATTTGAATTATATATATATTAGAGGAACTGTGATTGGGCAAAGGGGAGTGTGGTTTTAGATAAGTAAGGTCTTAGATATTTGTAAACCCATATTCATAGCAGTATTATGTACAATAGCTAAAACATAGAGCAGCAACTCAAGGGTCCCTCAACATATGAATGAATAAACAAATGTGTATTTGTACAAGAGCATATTAAAAAGGAAGAAAATTCTGGCGTATGCTACAACATGAGTGAACATTACGCACCTCTGCCCCATATAAGTTCCATCTCTTCATCTTAAAAACAGGTTCAGATTTTCTCATCTGAATATATATATTTCAAACCTGCACCATCTTACTTCGTCTCTTCTTTCCCTCCCCTTTCCCCCTCTTTATTTCTTTCCTTCTCTCTCCCACATACACACACACACATACACACACACACCTCACACACACAGGTAAGAGTGATCTATGCTGGTTGACTCTACATCTTCTATTCATGTAATTCAAAGTTGGCTTCTTCCTTCTATGTGACTAAAGTTGAACTTAACTGTTAAAATCAGAATGTAATTTTGATAAGCCACCATGTTATATCATATCCTTTAATTTTCATAGCACTTCTGGGGTTAATTTTAGTCGTATCTTGTAACTGGAATGTGAAGACACCTGTGCAGAGTCATTAGGAAAATGATAGAATATTCAACCCTAGGTCTTCTGATTATAAATTCAGGTTTCTTTGGTAGTTATTTTCTCATAATACTGTTGCTGTTTCTTGACCTCCTCTACCTACTCTGTTACCTGAACTAAAAATCTCAGCAGTGATTTTTTTCGTTTTCCATTTTCTTTATCCTCAAGTCTACTTGGTCAATAATTCTTATCAGTCCTACTGAAAGTATATTGCATTTTTGTCACCTTTAATTAATTCCCATTGCTCCTGCTCAAGTATAGTATCATAGCTTCTCCTACCTGGAACTTTGAAATATGTCTCCCTTCTCATGTCTGCAGGTCTCATGTCACCGAAAATACAGATATCAAATTTGTTTCTTTGAACATTCCTCTGCCTATATCTCTAGTGGTTTCCTTATTGCCATCATAGTAAAGTCCAAATATCTTAGCATGTCAGTTTGAGGACTGACACAATCTAGTTCCATCAAACCTTTTTTTCCGTTACTGCCATTCTACATTTCTTTCCCATACTTAAAACTGATTATTCAGTTTGATTTTTTTGAATTATTTATTGATTTTTAAAAAGATATTCAATTCCTCACTTGCATTTTTTCTCTACTTAGTATACAACTGTCCTCTATACTAATCTTCCCATACACATCTTCTACTATATTAATATCTTTCTTCAAGGTATGGATTAAATATTAGCACTTGTGGAAGATTTGCACAGATTAAATCATTCTGTCCTTTATTCTCCAATAGTATTTTTTATACTTATATTGTATCTTTTAGACTAAAAAAGATATGTTTGTAACTAAATATATCTTCCTTTTAAGTTGAAATTTCTTTTTTATGGTTTTTATTGGTAGTACCTTATAATCATACATAGTAGTGGGAATCATTGTGACATATTCATACCTGCTCATAATTTGATCGCTTTCATTTTCCAGTGTCTCCACTCTGCTCTCCCCTCTCTCCTCCTTATGGTTTCCTTTCTATTTACATGAGCCATCCCCCCCACCCCCTCTAGTTTCCTCAAGTGAGAGAAAACATTCATCCCCTGACTTATTTCACTTAGTATGATGTCCTCCAGTCCTATAAGTTTACCAGTAAGTAATATAATTTTATAGAATGGGAATTTCTTAAATGCTAGAACCATATTTTATCTCTGTATTCCTACCTTTTAACTTGTGCCTCAGCATAATAGGTAGTTGGTGAATGTCTGCTTCAAGGCACATCTAGTTCAATTATAAGCTTGCTTTAATGACAGTTACATGTTCTAAGTTTTTGTCTCAAACAGTTTGCTTATCATCCCCTCCAGGAAGTTTTCTCTGATTCCTCCCACCTCTAATGAATTAGGTACTTTCCTCAGAATTTACTTGTTTTATTACTTATCACTCTATATTATAATTATCTGTATAGTGCTTATAAAGAAGACATAGACTGTCTTTCATACAAGTCCAGATGTGGTGCAGAGTAGGGCTTTATAAATGTTTGTTGAATGATAAAGAGACTAAATGAATGCAATATATAGCTGAAATAGAATTTTTTAAATGTTAGGTGTTTTTAAAATTCTGAATAAATAGCTTCTAGATTTAAAGAATCTTCGAGCTTCCATGACTGATACCAAGATATTATCTGTTCTCCTCAGCAAATATTAATGGGAAAAAAAGATTATTTATCTCAGTTTTTAGAAAAAGCTTTTCCTAACCTGTTAGATGTCTGATAGGAAAATGTGAATAGATTGGGAGTTCCTTATACATAATTAAGTACCTCATTCTTGCAGATACTTCAATAATTCATATTTGAAATATACTTTTTTCAACAAAATTGGCTTTTTAGATACCTCCCTTTAAAGATGATATGGTTGTAGGATTTCATTTTCTAGGATTTTTAAAATTTATTTTTTATTATAGATGGACACAATATCTTTATTTATTTTTATGTGGTGCTGAGGATTGAACCCAGCACCCCTCACATGTGAGGCAAGCACTCTACTGCTGAGCCTGAGCCCCAGCCCCAGCTCCTCTTTTTCTAAGATTTTAACAGATTGGGATATTCTATTTTTGTGATGACTGAATGAATAATGGGTTATAGAGTCACACAGAGAAAGAAAAATCATATTGTTAAGAAAAGAGGATATTATTTGATTGAAAACTGAACTTGGAGAAGGAAGATAGATGTGGGACAGTAAGATAAAAGGGATGAGAAAAGAAAAAAGGAATAGTCCCTCCCCCATGCCCCTTAACCCTGCTATTTATTAACCTTATGCTTCTCAGGGAGAGATGAATCCTAGACAGAACTAAGGGAGAGGTAAATCCTAGGTAAAACAAAGTAAAGGGTAGATGATAACTTAGCTGACAGAGGATGTAAGGTTGTCATGCTGGTCCTTTGCTTATTCCACTTACCTGTGCATTGTAAAGGAACAGGTAGTGGATCTTGTAGATTTGAACCTTTACTTCTTTAAGCCACAAAGTTAAAGGGAAAATCATGCTGAAGATATTTGAAACACAGAAGGAATTCAAGGGCAATTGTCTTATAGTGTATTGTTTGAAAAGGAAACTTCCTCCTTTAAAATAAGAAGGGGTGGGGCTGGGGTTGTGGCTCAGCAGTAGAGCACTTGTGCTAGACCCTGGATTCGATCCTCAGCACCACATAAAAATAAATAAGTGAAATAAAAATATTGTGCCCAACTACAACTAAAAAATAAATATTTAAAAAAAGAAGGGGTCTTGAATTATTTTAAGAGAGAGTGAGAGAGAAAGAGAGAGAGAGAGAGAGAAAGAGAGAATTTTTTTAATATTTATTTTTTAGTTTTTCGGCGGACACAACATCTTTGTTTGTATGTGGTGCTGAGGATCGAACCCCGGCTGCACGCATGCCAGGCGAGCGCGCTACCGCTTGAGCCACATCTCCAGCCCAGGTCTTGAATTTTTAAGCTGTTGAATAGAGTAAACAAGGAGGAGATCCAGCTCTACAGAACAAAATACTAAGGGAGGGTTAGGATTGTGTATAGAACCAAGACTTTTATGAGAAATAATGGTAGAGTCAGAATCGCAAGTTAATGGCTTAAGAGAAACACCACTCATTAATGCATCAACAAATATATTTCTTATTTGCCTTGTCTATTGAAAAAAATTAGACTGTCTTAAAGACAAGAGAAAAAATATCATTCTGGGCATTAATACTTGAGTATGGCTTGACTCGGTGGTGCGTGCCTGTAATCCCAAGGGCTGGGAGGCTGAGTCAGAAGGATTGTGAGTTCAAAGCCAGTCTCATTAATGGTGAGGCACTTAGTACCTCAGTGAGACCCTGTCTCTACATAAATACAAAACAGGACTGGGGATGTGGTTCAGTGGTCAAGTGCCCCTGAGTTCAATTCCCAGTACCCCCCCAAAAAAAATTTTTAAAGATTTAAAAGGACTGGGAATGTATAAAACACCCCTGGGTTTTATACTAGTACAAAGAAAGAAAGAAAGAAAATGCGTTTACCTGCCAAATATAGGTTAGTATGATCTTTTTGAGAAACATAGTTTGCTTACTTTGATTCTGATTTTTCTAGGTGTACCTATTTCCTTATTTATTGAGCTCTTACTTGTGTACTGTAGGCTAAGGGTAAAACAAAGATACCTGTTCTCCTTGAGTTTATAAGTGTCCTTTATTTTTTTATCAGTCTCCAACCTTTGGTTTACAGATTTCATACCAAGTTTAGAAATGTTTATGAGCCTAAAAATAAAAATATTAAGCATTACTCTAGTAAAGGTGACTTCTTATTTGATAAAACTTTTATAAAACTAATGTCCTACTGTGATCACATAACTTTAAAATTTGATATGCTAAAGTCAATATGTGTCTAATCAGGACTTTTCTTAAATAGCAAAGCACCGATGTTCATATGGTTAGTGATAGCGATGGAGATGACTTTGAAGATGCTACAGAATTTGGGGTTGATGATGGAGAAGTATTCGGCATGGCGTCATCTGCTCTGAGAAAATCTCCAATGAGTGAGTATTAATAGCTCTTTGGGGCCAACATTATAATCTCTCTTTTAGTATACAAACTTCAAAGTAACAATGAACTGAAAACCCTTTTACTGATCCTTAGGTTTGGAGAGAGAAAATAAAATGAGTGGTCATTCTTCATTAGAATCAGAGCCTTTCAGTTTTATTAAGCCTAGAAATTCTCAACACATTAGTAAAAATTACCCAAAAAAAAGGAATGTAACTTATTTCATATGTATAGTTCTGACTCTCTCTCTCTTCACTTGAAACCTAGAGATTGATTAAGAGGCAACTGTAATTTCTGTGACTGGTACTTGTTTCCCACATCTGTCAGAGATATCAGTGTGAAGACTAGTAATACTACTTTTTCATTTGCCGGTACCCATCTTTGGAAGGAAAAACAAAAGTAAAGTAAATGTACCATCTTTCTAATTTGCACTTATGAAATGCATACTATAGAAAAAAAGAAATGCTTTATGCAAAATGATCATTAAAGTAAATTCATAAATGGCCCATTTGCTCCATGAAATTAGAGACATCCTGTGGGCATAAATACATGTAGTATTACATAAAATTAAGAATTTTCAAACCTCATTGTTTGAATGGGGTATTTAAAATAACTTCATATTTTTCATATAATTTAATCACAAATGTCTATTTCAAGAAAACATTGAAATCCTAATTGACAACTGGCACATATTTTAGATGCTTAACAGGATTGTATCTTTTAATTTCCAAAATTTAGGGGCTTGAAATTTTTTAAAGGTTCTTTTTGATTCTGGTTTGATGAAATCTTCTAATGTATATAGAGTTAAAATGTTCCCTCAGATATATCACAGAAGCTAAAACTTAATTTTATTTCCTCTTTATTGATTAAATATATTTCTTATATGTGGGATTAGATGTTATGTGGTTTGTTTTTTGTGTCTATTTGTTTTGTTTTTTTTTTTGTTTTTGTTTTTTCTTTTGTTTGTTTTTTAGTGCCAGAAAACGCAGAAAATGAAGGAGATGCCTTATTACAATTTACAGCAGAGTTTTCTTCAAGGTAGGGTTAGGACATTAACTATATAAAATTAATGTTCTTTTATGCTACTGTGGTTTTCTTTTAGGCCAATTTTAATCATAAATTGTTTAAAATTTCTCCTCAAAGGATATATTTATCAATTTATGTAGTGCTGATAGAGAAACACATTGTTCAATGTGAGATAACTAATACATCATTTATGCCACTTCACTATATCTTTATAGAAGTTTACAAAATTGATCACTAATTTTAATATATTTATTATATTCCCCCAAAGGAATACCATACAGGATATGATTTTTAGTATATATTAGAATAGACAGACCCACCCACACACAAAAAAAATCTGTAAAACAATGTTAAGTAAAAGGATAATTTAAAATTTTTAAATGGAAGTGAAATTTTTTTTTTTATTTTTATTTTGGAGTTCTTTACCATTTTTTTTTAAACTCTAATATAATGTTTTACATACCTGGGGGGAGTGCTGAGGTATTAAAATATAAAGAGGATTACTATTTAACCTTCAATTTGATGTAAAGTATATTTCTCTTTCATGTTATTTTCTGATGAAATATAATATTGGCACTATAAGAAACCATTTCCCCCTTTTGCATTGGAATTTTCAAATAAGTGAGCTAAAGTGGGAACTTAAAACTGACATAATAGTATAATCTTATAAAACTGAGTAACCAAGGATTTGCTCCTTATAATCATAACTTTCTTTTCTTTTTCCTTTCCTTCTTTGTTTTTTTTTTTTTTCTTTTTTTTGGTACTGGGAATTGACTCCAGGGGTGCTGTACCCCTCAGCTACACCCCCCAGTTCTTTTCATTTCTGTTTTGAGACAGAGTCTAGCTAATTTATTGAGACTGGCCTCAAACTTGTGATACTCATGCCTCAGCCTCCTGATCTGCTGGGCTTACAGGTGTGCACCACCACACCCAGCTCATAGCACTTCGGAAATTCACTTGCTAGGTAGTGTTCTAATATTAGTATAGACCAGGAAGAATTGAAAAAAGTAATGAAGCTCACTTCCAAGCTTTTAAAAACATAGTTTAATATTTGGTCTGCCCTAGACATTAGCCCAACTTTACCTAACCCATTGATTAGATTTGAGAATTTTGAAATGAATTTGAAATGTATATTAACTAATAGACTTAATTTTTCCTGTAGATATGGTGACTGCCATCCTGTATTTTTTATTGGCTCATTAGAAGCTGCTTTTCAAGAGGCCTTCTATGTGAAAGCCCGAGATGTAAGTGCAATCTTGCCTGTTCTGTTTAAAAAAATACAACCCACATGTTTACCACTAGGCCTGAGGCAATGCTTAATGTTTTCTATTTTTGTTTTGAGGTTGAAGTCTTGATTTTGCTTCTGGTTCATCAATGTACCTAATCATCACTAAGATGCCCATTTCAGAGGGAGGATTAGTGTAATAGAGTACTGCTGGTCTTTATAGAAGACATGTCAAATTCTGTATTAGAGTTTTGTTTTGTTTTTTTTTTTTTAATAGGGGGTAAAGCAAACATACTGACAAGGGACCTGGCTATAATTTAGTTTTCTCTTTAGTTACATGAATGAGAAGTTCTTGATACAGGATTTGCCCATAAGTCTTTTCTCAAAATTATTATTCTGTGTAATAATTATCTGTGAGGCCTGTTTTCCCAGACCCCTAGTGAGTGTCTGAAACCTTGGATAGTATGAAACCACACACAGACACACACACAGGTTGAGCATTACTATTCCAACAATCTAAAATCCAAAATGTAGTGTTTCAGATTTTAGATTTTTGGATTAGGTATTCTCAACCAGTGAAGTCTATCTGAATTTCCAAATCTGAAAAACTCCAAAATATAAAACACTCTGGTCCTAAGCATTTTGAATAAGAGATACTCTGGGTGGGTGGTGTGTTCTGGGGAAGGTGTTATAATTAAAGAAGGCAAAGAATTTTGAAAATAGAGTTTAATTGTGCCTCTGAGTCCTCTGTATGCAAATTTATATTAAATTCTGATATAAAGAAAATTCATTTTAAAACAAATATTTTTAAGATTCAATTCCAAAATGATAATTAGTGATCAAAGCTAGAGGTATGTCTGACAGATAATGAAGTAAATTAAGAAGCAAATTGTTCTTTACCCTTAAAGGTGAAGTACCCCCTTAACAATTAAATCTATATAAGTAGCTATTATTTTTAAGGAAATGCATGATTCTGTTTATATATTTATGGTTTCATAAATGTAGGTTTATGGAAAATACTACAAAGCAAATAGAGTGTTTTCTAACATCTTTTAATGATTAACTTTCTAATACATCTCTGCATTTTTTATGTTAAGTTTGAGTGAATGTGTTTGTGGGAATTTAATAAAATTGAGTCATTACAATCCTTTTATAATAGGTTTTTACTTTTTAATATTATACAGCCATTTCTTCTATATTATTTATGGTATTTTAACTTTTTACTATTAAACAATTCAATATAGGAGGTAGTAGAAGTAATAATACAGTAAAAATTCATCTCCCATATACCTAGATTTATTAATAATGAAATTTTTTCCATATGTGTTTTTTTATATATAGGCATCCCAAACTCTGAATGCTTTTAAAAGTTTTCTATAATCTGACAAAACAACAGCATTTGTAAATTAATTATTTACATTTGGATTTATAATTTTGATGAATATTTTTAGATGACTTTTTATTTTAATTCTTCTGTGATGAAAAATGGCAAATGTTGACTTTAGCATTAAGTAAATTTTGCAGATGTAGCTTGGTAGTAGAGTGTATGCTTAACATTCCTGAGAACCTGCATTTACCCCAGCACCACACACTCACAAAATTACTACTTAATATTCATACAAACAAATGGAAAATAAATATAAATAATTAAAGCAAAAGTTTTAAAGTTATTAAAACCAAAACCACATAAAAACATTTAGTAATCTCATATTCATTATTTTTGACTAAACCTTTTGAAAGTACATTATAAGCATCACACTCTACCCCTGAAAACTTCAGCATGTGTTTTACAAAAGTCGTGATACTCGTACTTAATCACATGAAAAAAAATTAACAATCATTCTTTAATATCCAATACATATTCAAACTTCAGTAGTTGTCCCCAGAATATAGATAGTTTTTGGTGGTTTTTTGAACCACACTTTTCTGAAGGATCATAAATTATATTTGAATGTTAGATTTCCTAAGTCTGTTTTAAGCAAGCCAGCTCTCCCTTTTTTTCCATGACATTTGCTTTGTGAAGAAATCAGGCCAGATGACTTGTAGATTGTTCCAAATTCTGGATTTGTGTGATTGTTTCCTTGTGAAATTATTTACCTTGTTCCTCAGTCTGTATTTCCTGAAAAAAAAATTGATATTAGGTCTAAAAACTTTTTTAGATTCAGGTATTCACTTCTTATAAGAATGCTTTGTAAGTAATGCTAAATATTATAACACAGATTTTAATGATTGTGGAATCTTTCATTGTATGGCCATGCTATTATATTTATTTACACTGTTGGTCATAAACATATTTGAGTATCTAATTATAGATTTAAATAGTCTATTTTTCAACTCATTCCTCAATAAAAGTGTATTTGGATATATTTGTTTCTGCTTTCAAGCAAGATTGCTAAGCAAATGTTAGGGCCTTACATAATTTAAACTAATTAGATATTTGCAAAATCCTATTTCAAATGCTTTTTAAGATATACTATGTATACTTCACACATTATAGTTTTAAATGCAGATATTTAAATATACAGTATATTATAAACAAAAGAACTTTCACTAAGTATCTTGTACAGTAAATTGGCATTTAGATTTATTCTCACTGATAATCCCCAAAGGAGCATAAGCTCTTATTTATTAAATCCTGGGTATTTCTAATGAAACAATTGATAGTTTGGTTTTTATTAGTGTCTAGGTGTTTTAGAAAATGAAAGTCATTGGCTTATATAATTAAATGTTTTGCTTCATATTAAATTCCTACCAAAATTCACTAACCCGTCTGGATTGCTAACATGTCTTTATTTTTCTCCCCTTGTTCAGGGTTTTTTCCTTTTCTCATTTCTCATTTTCAAGTTAGAGAACAGTTTATGCATAGTTCATTACATTTTCTCTAAATTAAGTAAAATGTAACCCTATGACGGATAAACAATCAAAAATTAAATCTAAGCTGGTACATTTAATATAGCCATCAAAATATATTGTACATATCCCTTTTTAGTTGTATGAGTACAGTATAATAATAATAATGCTGTGATTTCTATGAGGCTCTGTGGTTTATAAAACATTTCATATATGTTTTATAAATGTGTACTTATATATATAAGTATATATATGATTACTATATATATATATATATATTACCCATATATATGATTATTTGAAACCTATTACAAACCTGTGAGATAGGGACATTTAGTACCCATAGTCTCATTTTGGAGATGTGGAAACTCTGAAAATGTACATGACTTACTCAGACATGTCAACAGTAAGTAGTAGAGGTCAAATCTGAGCTCATACATTCCAGGATAGGTAAGTATGGTTTACTCTATGATAATATTTCAGTTTTGACTGCTACCTACTATACTTTATAATTCAGTTATCAAACTTCATTTCTACTTTTCATATTTCACCTTTGAGAATTAAGACAAATCTTATTCAATATTATTTTTTAAATATTCTGAATGAACCATTTTTAAGAAAACAGTTTACTGGTGTTCAAACATTGTAAGGCAAGTGTGACTGATACTGTGGCACTCTTACTAAATTTCTTTCCTCTTAAATATCACATGTTTAATTTAAACTGTGGGAGGCACATTAATTTTACCAGGGCAACAGATGAGTCTCGAGTACCAGCTTTCTTCACTGAAAGTGAGAAATTGAGTTCCAAGAGTAAATAAAAACAAGATTGAAGGTTTAAATCCTCTGCTAGGCTTTTTGAACTTATATACTCATTAAATGTTTATTGGAGTGGTGGGATTACAAAGGATTTGGGGAGCTTCATCAACTGGTATATAGTTAATCACTAAGTAAAACACTACATTTGATAAAGTGTTTCTCACGATGCCACATTCAATCCATCTTAATGAAAACTGCTTCACAGTGATTTCATTTGAGAGTACTTGTTGGTGAGAGTGTTCATAATTTTCTTCCTTTTTCTTGAGGAATTTGCAGTACTGTCCAAAGCAAAGCTCCAACTTCAGCAAAGCAGATATTCTCAAGTTCTATGTCTGTTTTAAGTGTATCATGACAAAGTTTTGACTTCTGGTAACAGGTTGATCAACTTTATGATTTCCTTCCTTGCTCTTAACTATGAAGGATACTCATCCAGTTGAAAGTTATAAATATTTATCACATGCCCCCTAAGGATCTGGGATATAGAGTTTTCCTGCCCTCGATAATCTAGCAGAGAGAAGACAATATAAAACAGATCCATAAAATACAATTTGCTATAAGGGGTACCTCATCTACCATAGAAGTTCTGGCAGCAGGAGGGTGATTTCTAGAGGAGATAACAATGATATGAATCCTAAAAGATTAAAAAAAAAGCTTAGGCAAGTAACAGAATTCTGTAAAAATTTAAAATAACTTCAATGAAAGATTAAAATGAGGGAAATAAAATCAGTTTGTTATTACTGGAGCAAAAATAATTAAATAAAAACCCAGTTGCTTTGCACGGAATGGAGCTGGGAAAATCACTGAGGGCCAATCATGGAGGGGACTATGATTCTCTAGCATTAGCTAACATTTAAAAAATATTTTTAGTAGATCTTGTAGTGTATCTTTAGATAAGTGAGAACCAGTGTTATCCTCCTTAATTAAGTTTGCAAAAGAGTTACCACTGGCCATAACATGATTCCCTAGGAATTTCCAAAGAAGATTCTGTTTCTCTTGATAGGCTCCATTTCTCTCATGCCTTTACCCCTGATGAATTTTCTTCTACACAACAAAAAGTACCCTGGAGAACAATTAAACATTTATACTAACTAAAAATCAAGAGCAATAAAAATCCCAGTGCCAGGGCTTATCTTCCATATGAAGATTGTTTCTTTCCCAGGCATCCCCTTTGGGATACTGAGCTTTGATATCAGTAATCCTGTTAGAGTCCCTAGGTCTGACTTCAGGCCCAATACTTTTTCTAAATATCGTACATAAGAAAAAGAGTACTCAGATCTTGATTTCTACTTGATAGCTCCATGACCCCAAATAAGTCATGAGCCTATTTCTAATCTGGGGAGAGGGAAAACAAGG